TCATGGTTATTGATTACAACGATACAGACAGTCGTTGAAGCGACACACGTGGGGCATTCCTGGACGATATCTTCAAGTGTGTCTAGGAAATATATTACACAAAACCGTAGTTAGTTCGGTCGGGTGCGTTTAACAGTCATCGCATAGTACTCAAACAAACACAAAAACACTCTCGAAAGTACCTAACCTAAGCTGAGTGTACTGAGAACCAGTCGATTCACATTATTAAGTTTAATACATTTTTATGTCTCATTTTTATAACCTCGTCACGGTTAATGCCGACGTTGATTTTTCGGTTTGGGATTTCGCTGTCGGCTTATAATAAAAAGTATACAACATCGTTTATTAGCTTCTCCTTAGAATAAAAAATAAAAATAGCACGATAATCGGATCTTCGAATGTCATAAACAAAACGTTTGACGTCATCGTCTCGGTCGTACAGAATGATTCATTAAGCAGTAGACACACATTTTCTTATAATTTATTAAAAAATTAATGAAATATGACAATATACGTTAACATTTAAGTTTCAATAGTAGCACAAAAAAAAAGGCAAACATTTAGTAATTTCATAACGTTGTAAAGTAAAAAACTAATAAAAATGTTTTTAAAAAAAAGTACAGCTATTTTAAGAAAATAAGGAGCGTCTTATGCTTAATATTAATCGCCCTGCATTGTGCAAACCGTTGAATATACCAAAATAATATATTATTTCGATAAAATAACAATATGCTATTGTTTTGGCTACCGTTAATTTATAATACACTCTGGTTTGAAAATAAAACCAAACACACACACACATACAATATGTATATAATGTTGTAGTTATCCGAGATAATAATATTATCTGGTCTGGTGTGGAGATTTTCGAGTTGGCACAATATATAATGCACGCTCAATTTGCCGGGCTAAGTATATATTATAATATGGAAGTTTTCGCTTTGGAAGTAATTAATTTCTATGGCTAATTATCGCGCACCATTGCGGCCAACAACAATCGTCGATTAATTATCAACCACCGAGACGGGGTTGGCGTGACACACAATATTATAAAGTATATATTACTATTATACATGGCACAAAAATCTCTCTTCTAGATACCATAATAATAATATAGTTCGGTTCAAAATGCGCGAGTTATATTAAATAATAACGCTTGTTATTTGTACTTCGGGTAGGTTATAGTTGTCAAAAAAATAATAATTTTAAAAATGGTTATTTTGAACAATAAAAAAGCCAAGTTATATTTTGTTGGTCGTTTTTCTAAATTGTATAATGTGAATACAAATGTCTGATTTTTGATCATTTTAAGTATAACTTTATAGATCACTACAATACCCAGTTAATTTAAAAAAACATTTGTATTTAGTATATGTTACCAATACTAACCACTATCATAAAAAATCAGTGAAATTCCTTAAAAATGTTAACATTAAATATCTGATGAAATCTAACCGCCCTAATATATTATATATATATATATTTTTCTTCTTATGTGTCCATTGCTAATGTCGCCTGGTAACAAATCTTCATTCATTTGACAGCGTCTCCGTTTATACGGATATGGACTTTAATCGATCGCGTCCGGCCTTCGTCCGAATTTCACGGCTATTATATGATCTATATGATCTATTTTCCGACCTATATATATATATATGGACATTATTATTATTATTATGTAGTGGTGACGACGACATAGACGTATTAGATGGCGACTGTCCGCCATAAAACCGTTCGATCATCGGAAGAAAAGTTTAGCGACGACATTTCTCTATACCGGGTAGAACGATCCCGGGGGAACCCTCTGTAAAAAAAAAAAAATATATATATATATATATAGAAAAAAGTAACCACTATACGGGGTTACCCATTCCCTTAACGCCGACCGACCTGAATCGATTGCCGACATGATTGAAACGTTTTCTCGGCGACCCCCGTGGGGTAACCCGATCGTTCCTTAAACGCGTTTAATGTACTGGGGCTTTAATATGCGATCACACTGTGTAACGTATAATATGATCTATAATCATAGATCTAGAATCCACGGTGACCGCTTTGGTGTGCAAAAGGAACCCAAGTCGGGGTAGAGTCTCTCTGCTATCGTTTGTATTGGCTAGGCCGCCGAACCGATTCTTAAGCCGAGGCCGGATATGGTTTTGGCACACACTAAAAGTTATACAAAGCGACAAGGTAAACAAATAATAATAATAAACGTCCACAATAGTATCAGTAAGATGTTTTGTTTAGCTTGTAGATTATAGCTATGCTTGTGGGGGATGTTACATAATAACAATATAATCTCCTAACCAGAGACCGGCCGGACTTGTCTAGGGGTTTCGGTGTTAGAACTTGTTAGACCGATTTTGTCCAACTTTGAAAAACTAAAATATTTTACACACACTTGTATTTTGTCAACCCAAACGCAACTGTTGTTAATTAGCTTTGCACCTCAACTACCGACTACGCCGTGCCAGAGGTATAGTGCTAATAATTAACGTGCAATTAATGAATAGATTTTATAAACGGCAAACGCAGTACGCCATTATATTCAACCGTAGAAAAGGCAGCAGCATAAGAGCCGAAAACCGAGATAATGGAACCTTCTTTTGGACCTTGGCCAGAACGACCGAAAACGGTACACGTCGGTTTTTGGCATGGGCCAGGTAATGAAAATAACACTTAATGGATTTGGAGACTGTTCTGAAAAAAAAAATAGTTATCTATCTCAAACGCTGTGATAAAGCGCTAAAAAAAGTGGCTTTTCAAACGTTCTTAAAAATCAACCAACTAAAATAATATACACGAATATATTTTTTAAAAAATTATTCAGAGCGATATTCATTAAGGATCAAAATATACAATTAGGATAAGACACCAGTTTGTTTTTAAAATAATTGAAATTTTCGTTTATTTTATTTTCTACAATACTATGAAATTACTTAATGTATACCTTATTTCAATATTTCCCAAAACTCTGGTAACGGATATGTTTAATTAATTGTTTTGAAATTTTAAAATAATTTGCTAAACATTTTCATAGGTCGGTTGAATAGGTTGTAGGTATTTAGTTTTTATATTTTTATAACTTTAAGCGTAATCATCCCACTTGTTAGCAAACTATTTTCAATTAAATATAGTTTTTTAAATAGCAATTGAATAATGTCTAATGTTATTGCAAACAAACATGGACATTTTTTCCAAATGAAAAACTCTGAAATTGCAATTAATTTATGAGAAAATCTTATCGTTGTCAAATCACCTTGTAAAATGTTAACAATGCAAACAAATAACCTACTTAACATAATATAACTTATAAGGCGTAATATTTGTATACTTTTATGAGGATTAAAAAAAATTGTATGGTATATTATTATTACTACACTCACTCGGTGTGTGCGCCATGTGGTATTAAAAATATAACAACATTGCCGTAAGCGTCGCAATAGAGATTTTTTATTTTTTTTTTTATCCTGTGTGTGTACAGCAAAGAAAACTGCCGTGTAAATTTATATTATGTCTGACAGTGGGGAAATTGCTTTGAAGAGAGAAAAAACACACACACAACCGCTTTCGGGCTGAAGTGCAATCGCATTTTGGATCTCACATCTATTACACGGTGAAGTGAAGCCGGCGTTTTTTTATGTTGCTTCTCCAATAAACTTAATTGCCTCGGAATAAGTTTTTCCAGGCGTTAAACGTAGCACGGTTAGTATGGTTAGCTGTTATATTTTAACACCGCAAGTTGTTTGGCAGATTTAACGGAAAAGTTAATTGGCAAGCTGAAGTCTACAAAAGAAAAAAAAAATCACTATAATTATAATATTTCCAATTCGGAGTAGGTTTTTTAACCAGTAAAAACAAGCGGAACACTTAACTAATGGTTTGATAACCGGCAAAAGTAATGAAATATTATAGCAACATGGGATTTTTAATATTAGACAGAAACTTATCCGCCTTCCTTTGATTGACACGTCTTGACACCGACTCGCGGTTAACAATCTTATTTTCACTCTAAATCCTTCTTGAAAGTACTTTTATTTTCTAATTATTAATAAAGTGCCTCTTTTAGCCATTGCCAATACCATATTAATGAGTAACTACATTTTTTTCATTATTCATAATCTAAAATATCATATCAATTATAGATTATTAGAATGAGAACAAAATATTTTAACAGATATTATTGTGATTTTACTTATTTCTTATGTTTTGCAAGTAAATTACAGCAGTGGGATGAAAGATATTTTACACACATAAAAAAATAAAGTCTTAAAGAAAAATAGTTAAATGATTAATGCGAATAAATGTATCCAGATGAAACGTCGTATCTGGATAATAACAATTGCCGACACCGATTGGCTATTGTGTTGTTGTTATTGTCGCGGTGATATCGTTTCGGTGTGGTGCGGTGCGGTGTGCGGGGTGCAACGTACGCCGGTGAGACTTGGCTCGCGCCGCTGGGTGAACGTACCGTACACTCGCGAGGGGTGACCGGTGACGGGGCGGACGACGAGGGGCGATGACGGTGCAAAGTTAGGGGCGCGCGCGAAACACTATATATGCGTAGTGTTGTGTGCCGGCGTTGCAATAGACCGGCGGCGGCGGGAGCTGTATAAAGCGGTAATCGGATAGGAGGGAGGGAGGGAGGCGGGGAAAGAATCCCGAAGGGTCGCGATGGGGATGGCGGTGGACGGGAGCGGGACGAGGGTGAGATGCCGCCGCGGTGGGGTGTCGCCGTTTTATTTTGGGGTTGCGCTCGGCCGATCGATACGCGCCGCCACCGCCGGCCCAGCGGCGGACGGCGGGCGTGCGGTAACAGGTGTCGGCGTCGCGGGCGGACGGCATTGATCTCGTTGCGCCGGCCGGCGCAAGCGCGCGCTCGCGCCCCAACCCCCGTCGTACGTGGCCGCGCGACGGTGGCGGTACCGACGCCGACCACCGCCAACGCACAAGCCCGGCGTCGCTCAACAAGTGTCTTCTGTATTGTTGTGCCCGTTAAACCGAACACAACCGTTCTCGCTGGTCGGGCGCGCTCTCTTTTTTTTTTACCTTCTCGTATCGTTTTGTTTTTTATTTTTTCGATTTCTCTCCTACCCCGTCTCCGGTTCCTCACCCTGCCGGTTTCCCCACCACCTCCCCCCTATCCGCCGTCTTCGATTACGATCTACAATAGTAATTATTGTTCGGGTTTCGTTTGCAAGAGTCTACAACGCGAGGACACATTAACACCAGACACCGGGGACCAACCAGAACCGGCCGTCGACGCACATGACAGGTATGACAATATACAAAAAAAAAAACATTTGTGCCTTTGCGGTACACAATAGCGCATTGCGGCGTTCCAACACAAACAAGTGGTCGCCGTATACGTGTATGCGTGCGAGCTTTATGTATTATTTTATTATTATTATTATTATCGTCGCTGTCGCTGCCGCCGCCGCCGTTGCCTTGGAGGCTTATATGGTGCCGCATTGATTTTGCGTATTATGCGTGTACGCTATTTCCGTGCCGTGTCATTATGCCAACGCGCGATAGTTTATATATTATTATTATACCTATATTATTACGTATTGCTCAGCCGCTGTATTACGTTGTAATTCCGCATAGCGCCGTTTGCCGGCTGCGGCGGCGGCGGCGGACGCCGCATAGCGCTGCGCTCAAAACCACCCCTCTCTCCCTCTCTCCCTCTTTCTATTTCACTCCGTCGTTCTCTTTCTATCGCTCACCATATAAACGTATATAGTGTTCGTGCGATTCACACGCACACCGTGCGAGGGTGTGGCACGTGGGGAACAGCCCTACGGTTTTGCAACACGTACGCGGGACGCAACACACAGCGTCCCTTTGTAAAGCTTCATCCCGTTTGTCCTCGGAGAACGACTACGCGTACGTCAGTACAATGGTACGGAATACAGAGTGATCGCTTAGCTAGACCCAGACATTATCTTAGAATTGTTTAAATGTAATTTTTTCTATAATTTTATATGTAAATCAGTTCGGCCGATTTTGATCATTATTTTCAAAAATATAACCCCATCACTCGTGTGGTATAAACTTATGAACTCAAGCCATTGAAATGGTTATTAACGCACTTATTTTAACAACTTTTAAAAGTAACAATAACTTGTTGAAAATCTCAACTGGTCGATAACTGAACTTAGAAAAGTTAAGATAACAATACAAACGTAATACCATATAAAAATCTCAAGTTAATAGATTTTTATCACATAAAGAACAGGGTTACATTGTGGAAAAATATATCGGATTTGAGTAAAATATGAAAATGAATAATTATTCGAGAAAAAAGTCTTACAGGGCTCGGCGTTTGCAAGGGACGCCAAAGTGAAGCTTCATTCTCCCATCCCAAAAAATCCCATTGAAATATCTTAAAAGTTTCTTCGCTGTATCTTAGTGCATTTGGTCAAGACAAAAATTAAAAACTCATATTGTCAATAGCTTAAAAGATCTTAGACTTTTTGAATTTTTCACAGTTGTTAGTAAACTCAAATTTTGATATTGCTTACAACTATATTACCCCATTCCTTATTTGTTGAAATCCTATGAGCTTGTCCTTTTTAAATGGTCTACATTATCTCAACGTTTTAAATTATGAATAGTTTACTGAAGTTTTGACTGGTCGATAACCAGTTTTTGGTAATTACTTTTGAAGTAGTTTAAGTTTAAAAGTAATCATCAAAAATTGGTTCTTAACCGGTTAAAATATTCAGAATTTTTTTCTTAATTTAAAAAAATTAATCAAATATTATGTACGGTAACCAATTCCGCGAATAAGATACAACTATATTATACAATAAGATTACAACTGGAGACTCTCGGTGCGGTACTTGATTTTTTTTTAAGATCCACGGTGCCACTAAGAGGCGGTTACTGAATTCATTTTGATTACTGTCGTAGCTTTAAGGTGTTCATGAAACATTTTGGCAGAGTGTAATAATAATAATTATACAACGGCATGCTTGGAGCAAGCAAAACCAAGTTTCTCCGAAGTAAGGCGTACCGATGATTGCATGACGTTAATGAAGCAGCAGTGAAACTTTTAATTGTGCTCTTTACAGTCATCTCTAAACGATACTCTGTTAACTACATTACATTGCGAAGCTGTTTCCAAAGTCATACAATAATATTATTATAACAGGCTGTACACCGACGATTGAAAATTATTATAGGTTTTTAATGATCCTATAGTATAATATACATATGTATGTATTACGTGATGTATCAAACTGTCTGTACGTAAACGCTTGAGTTTACTTATTACAAAACGTTTGCATCGGTAACTGTGTTTTGAAATTTCCAATTATTATAATATTTTTATTGGAAAAAATCCTGGAACAGCCTTTGGGCCTAAGGGACCTGCTCGTTTGCTGCAAGTTTAATGTGCAATGCTCGAAAACTCCATTTTGATTTCGAAGGTAACCCCCACTGGTTTGTTTGTAGTCCCCAAATACGGTTATATTGTCGGTTGTTGCCCGAGGCCGACTTTGGGTATTGTTTTTTTTTTTATTTTGTACAAAGTAAGTTCAAAGAATTGTGGGCCGTAAGAAACGAAATACACAACTCAATCTCGAATGTAATAATAATGTATTTTTATTTAAATTCAATCGGCTCGGCACGTTCGTCGTGTTGTATACAGGGCGGTGGTCCGTCGAGGATAAGACATATTTGAAGAGAATATGTTTTTTTTAAAGTAGTACTACGGTTTTGCAGTTTTTGTTTTAGAGCCTTATCGACTTTTTAAACTTAAACGGTTTAAATAACTAAGAATAATTTACTGAACATGGTCATTGGTGAATTAAAGTCACTATAAGCGAATTCATTGAGTTAATTTAACACTTATTGTTATTAAGTTGTGGATGTCGATAGAGATCTGGAAAAATGGACAAATATTTGATTATTGTAAGATAACATAGGTAGCTAGAAGTATCTCCAAAATGAAATACTTAACAGATTCGCGTTTGTTCTTGTATATAGGTGTATATGGGGGAGAAGCAGGGTGGAAGGGGGATGGATCGATATTTTTTGTTTATTTCTTTATACCTTGACGGTGGTGACGACGTTGCGGCAACAGCCCTATGGATATTGTACAGCAGGATCGAGGGTCGGCGGAACAGGGGAAAAACAAGCTGGACGTCCGAAGATGGTAATATTATCGAGGATTTTGGAAACGTTTGATTTGATGTGCAGTGCACGCCACGCCAGACCCTTTTTCCCCCAATGCGTTTTCACGAGGGGCGTTCACACCGGAATCGCTGCCGGTATAGCCTAACATATCCACAGCAGTGCATTATAAAGACCGTACCGTGGAAAAAATATTTACTAACGACATTAGTGCAAAAATATGTCTGGTCAGATATTTCTGAAGTAACATGGTAGCATTTTTGTTTAACTGACTCCACTGAAGTTGTAGATAATTTTGGCGTTCAACTGCCGTTTGTTGTCAAATGTCATGTTCCCACCAATAAACTTTGGTTACAGAGAATCACTAATGACTTGATTAATATTCCAAGCGAATCAGTAGCGGGCATAACTAATTAAAGACAATACAGGATTAGCAGTTTAACGTAAGACACTCGATGTATCTTGTAGTCTACTAAAAAATAACAAGGAAAAAGAAACGATACTGCCGACAATAGCGTGTCCGCTTATATATATATATATATATAAAATATATATATATATATATATATATATATATATATACATATATTTTTTTACACTTAATAATGCATCCGTTGCACGTTGTACTGCATGTTATATTATTATAGCATACAGACCATAGACGGCAATATGCGATTTATAAATTATGCACCGGGTTTGCGGCACTATGTTAATAGTTTATCGAACAAACGACCGGCATTGGAGTTACTAACTTTGGAATACAACGTGTGCGCCGTGCAAATTTCCTACACCGACTTTTTACCCTCTCGTACATACTTGGCTATACAGGGTGCACCGTTTAATATAACACACCGAGTCGAGACGAGAATTCAGTTTTACATTGCGGATGATACACCCTGTATATATATATATTATGCATACATATCAAATTGTCTGCGGTTGGCGACAATCCAATTTTCAAATACTACCGTGTACCGGCCAAAGTCGTTTTGAACTTTTACACATACACATAATAGTAGCGATGTCGTATCCCTTCGACGAAAGCTCGAGACGTTCGCCTTAGATATTGTTTACACAACAATAACAATATCTAATTTATATATAATATTTTGTCGAATAATAATAATAACAGTAATATGTGTGTGCGCGTGTCGCCGTTGAGCGTTGGATTTTCATGTCTGATCGCCTTTGCAGAAACTTTGCATTAGTGCGCGCATCAGGAGGAGAGATATTGCGGAAAAACTTGTGCGATAATCCCACCCCCCCCCTTCCACCCCTCCCCTATTGCCCGGTTAAGTACGATATGAAACTTTTCGCGTGATATATTCATACACAAAAGCGATTTGTACGCCGCGAATAAATAATTTAACGTGTCACTATTCAAGGGGAGGATGAGTTACGGTTCTCCGAGACAAATTATCCGCTCTGGTCGGGTTGGTGTTTTTTTTTTTTTTTTTTTGAAAATTTTATTTCTCCGCGATTACTGCATAATGATATTATATATATTATCCAATATATATAACGGCCGCGGTGATATATTATAGCGGCGGTGGCGGCGCTCGACAACCACATCCTGCCGCCCCAAAGGGTACCGTGTATAAGGTTGCCACGCACTTTGGTCACCTCGATTTGTTTCGGCTAATTACCGGACATATTTTCGTCTTACGGACGGATTACACTGGTAATCGCCGGTACAAACTATAGTTTAATCCGCAATAATACTCGACAGCCAAAAAGTTCCAAGTGGATAACGTTATGATAAAAGTATAGTATACAACATGGGGGGGTGGGGGATCTCACGAGCCTTTGGCATATAGGTGAAATGTATAGTAAAAAACGTGGCACGCTGAACGAGTATATATATATTATTTATATATTAGTTGATGACTATTTTTACAAAAGAAATATTATATTTCAAAGATGTGTTGACAAAGTTTAACAGACAACAGACACTGTTTCTGGTGTTTCTCGAGGGCACCACCTCTCTCCTCCTCCTTCTTATTTACTCTATTCTGACGTGGTATGTTCAATCGAGTACTCCAATATATTACTTGTAGATGATGCAAAAGTCTTTAAAATGAGATTAAAATAAAATTTGTACACATTTCTCAGATCTCAGTTGGAACATGCACAAATTATATTAGGTTAAGTTAAATTGACTTTAGAATAAGTGCAAATACATTGTCAGAGATACTAATTTATTTTATCTAAAGCCTTCTTCTCACAAATATATTATGCTTTCCTCAACTATTAACACTTTGTCAAGAAACGGTTACACAATAATAATAATGCTATTATTTTCCAAATTTTGTTCATATGCATAGCTATCATTGTTACAATACCATACAAATATCATCGAAAACTCTTTACCCAATTATTGATTGCGTTAGTTTAGTCGACGGAAAGCAATAGGTTAAACGCTAACGCTATCATGTTTGTCTTGTGCCCAAAGCGAATGGTATTAAATTTAGATTTATTCCCTCGTGTCCTATATATGGTCGTCGAGTCATCATTATTAAATTGTAATTTAAACCCGATCGACTATATAACATCCGACCAGCGTTTGAATGTTCTGTTATTGAACGATTACAAATTACTATATCGGATGCACCTCAATCTGCTTTTTGTTTCTGGTACCAGCCTTGTCCAAATGCGGAATAACATATTATAATTATAATGAACAATCCAATGGCCTTTACTGTAATTTATAAAAATAATGGCATTTGTGTTTTATTCTGGTTGAACAGTTTGTAAATTCAACTCTCATGCTTACATATAATATTATACTGATCGGCATCACTAATTACTTATTACCTCCTAGTTTCCACTATTTTCGCATCTTTATAAAGATTCAACTGGGCTTACCGGAAATGTTTCCAAGTCTGAGTGTCAATAATCAACTGTGGCTAATATAACGTTTACAATGGACCATTTGATGGCAATTATGATGTTTTGCATTGTCAATTTAATTTTCCAGTCACTGCACCGTTTCGTTATGTTAGTAAAATAATTTCCAAAATTCTATAACATAACTCAAGTCGTTTGAGTCGACAGAAAGGGGCGAAAAATCCAAATTACAGAAAGTAAACTTTAAATGGAAAACGCATTTATCTTATCTAGACATTAAGATTTATAGTAGTAATTTAGTTTGTCCCTTTCTGGTTCCAAACAGTTGGACGGGTCGTTTTGATTTTATCGTTGATTTTTTTTTTTTTTTTTATTCAACGACACAATTTTTTCACACCGACCAAGTTAATGAGAATAATGTGATCGACATGGACTGTATAGGTAAAAATATATTGTCTTTTATTTAGGTAAAACCAATACATAAGTTGTAAAACGTTTTGGACAACTCAACAGCTGTGGCATAGTTAAATATTATGTTTGTTACAATAATTATTTCTAATAATACTTAAGCTTTCTGTACGTTCATTGTTCTGAAATCATTGTTTAATCGTTACTGTTAAAATATATTTTATTGTTGTTGTATTATTATTTATGACGGCACTGTCTGCGTACCACTAAAACGATTTGGTTCTCGTCCACATAATATTCCGAATCCCTATATTTGGTATTGACCAATAACGCAGAGAACAATTTTTATTGACTACACACTCACCCAGAGATGAGGAGCACACATATTGCACTGGGCTGTGTATGTGTTATTATACAACGCCGTTGTCTCCCACATCGGAAATCCCTCTGCATTGAAATTATTTCCCAATACATAGTAATATATATATGCGCACATCAATTTTATAAACGTACTATTATACATCCAGCCGTATGAACTACCGGCCAATTGTTTTTCACTCGATTACCATAAATTCGTATGCCACATTTGCCCGAATACACGTTTGACCTAAACTGCTCCGAAACAAGTATAATATAATAATGTAGTAGATGTATGTATGTATGTGTAATATCTATATTTCATTTAAATGTGCGCGCAACGGTGGTACAACTTTATATAATATTATAACGACCGTTCGTATGTTGAACGCATTCGAAATTCTATCGTGAAGTCGTCGTGTAGTGATATTTCACAATGCAATGGAACTTGTACGAAAAAGTTTTTCCGCTCGATTTACACACATTTTTTTGTATATTTTGAGTAGTTTTTTGATATACTTAGATTTCACATATTCACAAAGACCTAACCGGTTCTACTGTGACTGAAACCGAACAAATCCTCTCATCTCTGAATTCCCAAAAAAAAAAATTTATATATTAAAAAGGGGCCGTTGTCGTAACCTAACCTAATTTAACCAAACCTAACCAAACCTAGCCAAACCTAACCAAACCTAACCAAACCTAACCTTACCTGATATAATAAATGGGGAATGGAAATCAACGAATCCAAGCCCGTTCATTGTACTTTCACACTCAGACCAAGTGACGGTAGTAAAATAATAATAATAATAATTATTATTTTAGTGACTGAAATGAAGTTAAAAATAACCCAAAATAGTCTCATTGTTTAAAGTCTAAACTTATTAACTGTTGATTAATCATGGAAAATTGCTGTTTTTCAATAGCTTCTGGATTAAAACCAATTTACTTTTCCAACTAAAATTATTTTACAAAAAAAATACACGTTATACTGTTTTTATATATACCGTTTCCAAAACTAAAACGTCGACGCCGTTGTATGGTTTAAATGGAAATAATAATAATAATGTAACCAGTTATTTCCACACACAATACACCCACGACCCATAATAGATTATTTTTGACGGCATTTAAACGATGTTAATCTAATTTGTTCATCCGACATGTAAAACGTCAAAGAGATATTTATTACTACCAATTTATCACCGGGACCCGACCGAACGTTATGAATAATGTTTATCTTTCGGAAAAGTGCCGTTTCTGAAAATATATTTTTTTTTTCAAATTTAAATAATAGTCTTTGAAACGTCTACATACATCTACAAACTATCATCAAACAATTTTTTTGAAAAATCTCCTAAAAATGCCTGTGTGGGCGGTCATGTATACAACTCAATTTAGTTTGGACTTATAGAAACACTTTTAGGGTTTGTTAAAAAAATAACTGTGTTTTCTTTATTAAAACCAGGCTGTTGGATTATAAAAAGAAAAAATTATTAGCTGGAGATTATAATAAAAATAAAATTTTTTTTTTTTAAAATTCGTTGAAAGTTAAACAGAATAACATGTAACTGTTATCGTTGTAGCCCAAAACAATATTTACCTGTTCAACGTCAAAATTCAGTAATCAACTTACCTATCGAAATTATCTTTTTTACATAGTCCTTGGCACTATAAAACATGCCGAATTTTTCTACAATATTATCCTCTTTGGAAATACACAATTAGTTGTGAGGAGTTGCTTACGGTTCTTCTGTACAACTTTTTGATAAATACAGATACTGTATTGTGAATTAATACAACCCCCCCACTCCAAAGTATGGGATGTTGGCCGAAAGAAAAAATAAATCACAATAAAAAAAAAACTAAATTTTGTTCTCGAGTGAATACGCAGCATAAAAAAAAATCAAAGTGAAATCCATCATTATTTTGCTTTGTATTGAAGATTTTTATCTCTCTCTCTATTTTTATATATATTATGATGTTTGAGTTCCACATCAATTGGTACATAATATTGTTGGTTTTTTTTCCCGTTTACACATCATATTTATGACGTTGCGGACAGGCCCGTAAACAAATACAATAAATCATTTTCACTACTTAGGTATACCTACATATATATATATATTTATGTGGTACTGATTTAGGATTTATGTGTTTTCAGGTCTAGAACGTGGTTGTTGTGCGGGACTGGATCTTCTTCGATGAAAAACTGTGTGATATATTTTCTGCTGGACGACTTACCGTAAAGCACACACAAAAGGACCGCACAAAAAGCACTCATCGCGTTCCGTCGAAGCGAAATAAAATAATAATAACAACAACAACAGCAACACAAAGCAAAAGACCAGCTCGGTAAAGGGCAAAAGAGAGGAGAAAAAACCCCCCCAAAAAAAAAAATAAACACATAACAACAAAAGCTCAATTCAAACACCGGCACTTTTATACGCCAATCAATAAATACAAGCAATACTTACATATTATATACATACTTAACATTTTTTCATGTGATTTCACTGTTAATTTTAAACAAAGCAAGCAATATTATTTTTCTGTGAAAAAACCAACGTGTTGAAATCATAAATAATAGCGTTTATTTTTAGCACGGTTTTGTTTTTCTTATACTTACATTACTATTATACTTAAGGTATAATAATATTCTCTAATCGACCGCCATGCCCCGATGTTATATGGTGAAGAAAATGGGACCAAAACTGAAAAATTCTCTTTTCGACGACGGTTCCCGGTCAGACACGGAATCGCCACCGCCTTTCACCGACCCTTCGTCCGTTAAACTGTACAAGCCCCTGGAATCCGTCGCCGTTTCCAAGCACAAAGGTAAGTCACATTTCGTGCAAAAGAAGTTCTAATTTTCATTTACCCAAAAGTAGCAAGTTAACACCTATCCCCCCCCCCGCACTTCACCCAAACACTACAGAACTAATGAGGGTCTAAAGCTGTATCTAGTTACCCGTCTGCGATCAGGATGTGATATCGTATAGAATTTTCAAAATATTTTACTCTCATATTGATGTGAACACGACACCCGTGTAGTGATATTGCATAAGCCACGCGCCGTTTTTCGATTCTACCAAGTTGTGGGTTTGTTATTTTTTTCCCTCCTCCGGTGTGAGACGACTAAAGCAGGAAGTGCAAGTGTACTGGAAACAATAAAAACTCTACCGAAATGCATTATAGCGGCTTTTTTTTTTAATATTATTTTAAAAAGTTTCAAAACTAAAATCGTTATTATTACACTCGAGTTTTCACATATCCGGTAGTGTTATTCATTTTTTATCCAAGTAAAAATTAAAATTACTATGCGTCATCTAAAAGCAGATTCAAAGGGCGTAGTAAATGTTTATGTGAAGCCAAAAGTAAAGACATAGTCTTATGTATAATTTTAAAAGTTAAATTTAAGCCAATTAAGATTCTTTTAATTTGTTCCTTCGTACTTTTCATATAAAAATGTAATTATAAGTTTTACTTAAACATTTCTATAGAATAATCAAAGGAATATCATGATTATTTTTGTTTATGAATAATAGGCTAGACAAATAAATAGGCATTGTAAGTATAATTTACTATCGCAGTATTTTGATAAATACATACTTATCTTACTTTTTCTTTCTTTATTTATTTTTTCTGAACAAAGTTTTAGGACTTATGGTTTGCAAATAGCGATCTAGTGTGAAGTTTTAACATAATACTATGTTTATAGTTTTCTCAAAAATCTTTAGCGATAGGTACTAATTTATTTTTCATTAAGGTAAACCTGACATATAGGTTGCTGTGCGCGAGTGAGTCAACAGGTATCTTTTCAAAAATATTTACATTTTGTTGTCGATTTGCCTATTACGATAACAACGGCATCCGCCCTAACGTTGAAAATAATTTATAATTTTAAGCGCGTTATGGCTTTTACGATGCTCTTATCGATTTTTGCATTTCTACCGTCTACGGATTGGCGTAGCGAACAGAGTTAAGTGATTTTATATACCATTTATTAGTATTGTTTTAACGCTGAAATTCGCAAACGGTCCATCGAATTTTATTGCCGGCAGTCTGTACAATAATATTGTTTATATGTATATATATTTTTTTCCCCCGTTTTCCCATTTTTTTTTTGTTTAAACTAAAAGAAATAAAAACGGTCATTACTGTAATCGAACATCGCGTGTCCGTCGGGTTTAGGTCGCCTCTAAAAACCGATCAAGCGACCAGTGCGGATTAACATTAGACGCTTTCCAAGTCACGGTTTGAAGAAACAACATTAGCAACAGCATTAAGATGCGTCTCGCGTGCCTTTGCCAACGGCTCCTTGGGCGTTTTGTCCGTTTAACGAGATATTCACTGCAGTGTATAATAATATCCATAATATGTGTATTTATATATTTATATATATATATATATATATATACACTATAAATACGTGCAGTACAACTACCCTTGGGGTAGAGGCGTGGGTTCATTATCGTTACACGGTATTTTGTGTCGTTTCCGGTAATTTTACAAAAGGGAGAAAAGAAAATATCAACAAACAAAAAAAAACACAACCCGAACACGTCAACAGCAGGCGACCTTTTAGCTAATATAATATTGTAATACTGTGTTTTACCCGCTAAAACTTTACTACCCGAAAACCATATTGTAATAATACCTCATATCTCTTATATTTTAGCTCTAATATCTTATCTCTAATCTATAATATCTAATCTAGTATCTCTAATACAATATCTATATTATCTTAAACCTCTTTTTTTCTTATCTGTTCTTTTTATATCTTATCTTTTTTCTCTAATATCTTATATATAATCAGTCATCTCTATTTTTTATCTCTAATATATTACCACTAATACATTATCTCTATTTTTATCTCTAATCCATTATCTATATTTTTATCTCTAATATATTTTCTCTAATCTAGTATCTCTAATCCGTTATCTATATTTTTATCTCTAATCTAGTATGTCTAATATCTTATCTTTAATGCATTATCTCTATTTTTATCTCTAATCTATTATCTATATATTTTTTCTTAGACAGTATATATTCGCCGTTGACTTGGACCGTTCGTCTAAATAAATTATATTTCACTGCAATTGCTAGACAATTTTATATATTGTTTTTTTTTATTTACCCATTGGCCGCCAATTAGATTGGATTTGTTTTGACACACTTAACTCTGTTCAACATAATGTATATCTTTTTTATAATTTAAGACTATATCATCATCAGCTTAACAGGCCTTTGAGACACAACGCTGCCATCACGAGATGGTTTACTCTAATTTTTTTTTACAAAATTCAAACGGTGTACAGTACTTTACACTGCAGGGGACAATGTGTATATTCAGATGAGGAGTTCAAAGTCGGCCAAGGGTCTATCGTTAAGCCAATCGACAGAAATTCATCATCAAAATCGTCCTGTCTATATAATAGGACAACTAGGTCCGGCTCGTCCGATAGATAGTCTAAAGACAATTCACAAAAGGGAAATAATAATATTATTATAACTGACCGATGGAGCTATAAGTCGTACAATGTCATTAAAATATTTGTACTAACATAACATCCGGTTATAATAATCGCATAATCATTATTATTATTATGATCGTTGCTCCGGATATGTCTGCTAAGTACACATAATTTAACGCCCAGGTCTTTGTCTCCTCCGGGTACAATAAGATACCGTTGTAATCCTTGGATAATCACTTCTTTTTTTTCTAGAGTTTTACACGGCATATTATAGCTATATTTGGGGGTTTTTTTTTTATAACAGAATAAAAAACTCTAGCTCGCCCTCCGTGTCAAATGAAATATCATAATTCCTCCTCGATCGTTTGTTATGTTATTATTATAATAAATAAAAATAAATACCGAGCGAACCGTTCCTTTAGGTTAAATATTTTATATTTATGTATGTATAGGTTTAGTATTGTACATTTTGCAGATATTTTATCTCGCTAAGTCGAAACGATAATTTTCGACAATATTCGAAAACAACAACTATAAATCGCGTTAAGCCCAACGGTTTTCATCGTGAAAGCTATTTCGGGTAAACATTTTGAAAAATATATATCTTACAGCCGACACCTTCTTATTTCGTTTCGAACTCGGCGCCTTATATTGTAATCGTATATACATATTATTATACTATATTCACACTATAAACAGGTCAACCCAAACGAAAGGGTTTATACAAAACGGTATAAATAATGTTTTTCAAACATTTAATCACCTGTCGGTACACGATTTTTTAATCGTTTAAAAATATCAACAAAATGTTTGACAACATTTAGAGAATAATTATAATGTTTTGGCTTCTGTGTTGATGTGTTACTTGTTTGTTATTAAGTACCAATATGTTTTCAGTAGTATATATTTGAAAATCAGTTCCTTTATTAAGATTGAAATCATATATTATCTATAGTTATTGAACCCGTTTGATATTGTTGTGCCGCAAATTACCAAACACTTAACCCTAAAATAACGTTAACGTCGGACAAGCCTAATGCCGTGCTCCCGTTAGGACTTTTATTCGGAAAAAATAAACAAATTAATCCTTTTTTTTTTTAGACCCCCGAACACGGTCAATTGTAATCGCCTGACGCGCATTGATCGTTTTCAAGTGGTGGTTAGGTTTATAGGATCCGGGGACAGACCATATAATAATAATATAAGCTAGTACGATCGTTTTGTTTTTTCGGTTTTAATGTACAATAATTACCGCTGATGTTGTACAACAATATGTGTTGGCAAAAAGGGTCGAAATCTCGGTGGTCGACGGAGGGTATATTTATATATTTTTTGTCCTTATTTCCCCTTTTTGCCTCGTCTCGAGTATGTGCAATCACCGTTTTTTTTTGGGGGGGGGGAGGTCCTTTTTTGTAATTTATACAGGCCTTACCCGTTCAATTTGTGCGACCGTCGTGGTTGCCTTTTCTGCTTGTGTGCACACATAATAATAATAATAATAATAATATAGGTAGGCAATAACATTATACCCGTTTCCAACGAAATCCCAGACTTTGCGATTGCATATTATTATATTATTATTGTGTAATTATTGTATTGTTATTGTTATTTTTATCGTCGTCATCATCGTCGTCGTAGTCGCCTTTATTATTTGCGTTATCGTTATAATATTATTTTACACTCTGCACGCCATTCTAGAACACAATAATCCTTTGGCTCAGGTTATCCACGGCGAAATTTGTACATCGTCTACTCTAGTGTACGTTCAGCCTAAACCAAAGAGTAATAATATAAGTACAGATACGAAAAAAAAACTCATAATTATTCATTATAAAATCAATACCTTCTCGGCTATTGCATCGAAACCAAAAGATGAGCCAACATAAAGTAGCTTGAATGTGATAGTAAAGCAAACAGAAGGACTAAAACCAGTAGGACCATACAAAAGAAAAGCAAAACACGGCTTCATTGTTGAGTGGTTGGTAATATATACTATAATATGCCTTGTAATATGGAAAAGAGGTACCAGAAATGTACGTGAAACTAAATTATCGCTATTAATTATTTATCATAATATCAGAACATCCGTATTGGATATTGTCTGAATTTGCATTATTCGGATAACCGCATTGTCTGCGCCTCTCGTGTGTGCCCGTCAAAGATGTAGAAAAACAGTTTGAGTGGATGTTAAGGACAACGTGGCAGATTATATATAAAGAAAAAAACTAGAGAGAAGTATCTAGTGTATCTAGTGAGTGAAAAACCCAAGTACTACATTATCTGCACTAGGAGGTACGTTCATTGATCTTGTTTCTGTTCAACAATCCGTATGTGCTCCCTTTACTTTTTGAACATTAATAT